AAATTGATGAGACCATCCTTGCAGTGCATCAGCACATTCCTCTCACTCGGTTGCACTTCAGCCCACGTCGATGCGCCTAAAGTCGTTGGTAGGAAGGCCCCCGACCGACGGGATAACTCGGTCAAAAACTTTGCGCGTGTAGGTAGCAGGACTGCCTGACTATCATCTAGTGGCTCTTTTTCATCGTGAAGGCCTTTATGGTATTCTCAGGCGAATTAGCTTCGAGTTGCCTTCGGTGAACGCCTATGAAATTCAGTAAACGGACTCTTTAGTTTTGTCCGTCAGTCCGAACCCACCTCTAGTCATGAACATCAGATAGATGGGGAAAGAAGGGGTTCGGTAAACGCTGAGCAAGTCTGCCTCACCATAAAGTAACTCAAACGCAAGTAATCTGTGTTGTTCCCAATCCATCACTCCATCCCTTGTTATTGTACTTCCTTTTATTCATTTGATCTAAATATATAAAACTCGGTGACCTCGGTGGAATCCGAACCCACGCCAGCAAGGGGAAGACCTGGGTGCAGCCAGCGCTCTAGCCAAGTGAGCTATCGAGGCCCCGACAGGGAACCGTGAATTTAGTCACACTTGGGTCGACTTACCGCTCAGCCTACTACAAAGAAGGCCACAAATTTACCCCTACTAATTCCACTGAGGTGCTCTTTTATAGTTGCAAACATACTTTAAACTTCCTAGCAAACTTCTAAGGTAACATTGTTTAACAGATATATTCTAGGCCTGTTTGCGTGTTACCTCCCATAATGTGTCCTCCCGTAATTGCCTTGTGTGTGCCATTTGTTTTTCCTAAACCTTGCCAGTCTCTGCTCATATATTCATTTCCAATTCTATTCACTTGATACTTATATTATAACATGCTAGGTTTTGAAGGGGTAAGGTAGATGTCGTAAAGATTTTTTCAATACAGACAAATCTACGCACTACAAAGGTCCTCCACCTTTTTATTCAAAACTTGAACTATACTTACAACTAAGTCTAATTGAGTAGCTTTTTTATGTTATATCTGATTATGTCAGTCGCTGACATCGGACGGGCTCGAATCTTCATGTCTTAGGGTCCTAGCTGTTCGCGCGGTCACAAATTTCAAACATTTATTAACCTGCCACTGTTTCATTTAACACAAGGCAAGATTAGTTTTCTTTTCCAGTAACTAGACTTTGTGTAATGCTTTCTGTTTTTGTAGGGGTATCCGGAGCTTCTGCAAGAAAGCAGGGTAAATTTAAATATTCCATTGTGTCATATATCTTTTCATTGGTACAACATAATCCTAAACTTGAGTTGACCCAATTGTGAAAAAACTCGATGCTTTTGGCGGGATTTGAACCCGCGCATCAGAGAAGACCTTTGCCGGAGGTC